GGAGGGAGGGAGGGAGGGAGGGAGGGAGGGAAGTAGAAGATGGAGAGAAGAAGGATGTCCTTGATTGAACTGCCTGCTTTGCCTGAAAGTACCAATAACTGGAAAAGAGTCATCAGTGTTTAAAGGGGTGAGAGGGGCGAAGGACGTGAGGGAGAGCAGAGGAGGCAGGGAAGGAGGATGTCCAAGATGGAATTCTTGAGAACCATATCACGGATTATCATAGATATCAGGACAGGCATGAAATAATTGAACGTTTTTTTTTTTTTGATTAGGTTCGATACGCCGTACAGGAATATGCATGTACCGTTGTTGATGTTCTAGCGAGAAGAACACGATTAGCCTTTTTGAACGTACAAGCTGCTAATGAAGCTATACCCAGGATAGTAGAAATAATGGGTCGAGAATTAAACTGGAGCAAGGAAAGAAAACAGGTAAGATTCTGATACGCTATATACATACGTTATATGCTATAAGGTATATAATAGCGTTCACACAGGGTTGATAAATAGAGCTCTCTTGAAGTGGGTGTTATGTTTTTCCTTTTCAGACTATGTATCATTCCCTAGAGTATCATTTGTTTCTTTAACAGTTGCAACTGAGAAGACACATGAATATGAATCTAGACAACTTAAACAAGAATCTTATCAATCCCCCCCCCCCTCTTCTCCTATTCTTTCTTTCCCACTTTATTTCTTTTAATTCCTCTGCATTTTGTGTTACAGCAAGAACTGCGAGAGGCCCGACAGTTCCTTGGTCACATGGGGATGGATGTTCACGATAAAGTAAAACGAGTTGATGTTAACTTTACCGAAAAAGAAATCGAACACTACAAGAAGGCATTCCAACACTTTGACATTGATAAAAGTGGTAGCATAACCTTTAACAACCTGAAGAAACTGTTACAAGAAGAAGGAGATAGTAGCGTAACAGACGACCAGTTACGTGAACTTATTAGTGAAGTGGCCACTACTGAAAGCAATGCTATTCATCTCGAAGAATTCTTGCAGGTAACTAGATAATTTGACCTGTGAACGGGCTCTGAAAGGATAAACATACCTTCAGATCAAGTCATAAGGTCATAAGGTTATTTCTGCCGGGATTTGGTGAATGGCTCTTGCACGGCCACCTTAATTCCTGCACCCAAAGATATCCCATGATGCATCGTATACACTGAGATCATCCCTTAGAGATCTTTTCTTGATTAGGTTTATTTTTGATGAATGGCTTCTTACACGGGCACCTCAACAACTGCACCCCAAATATCCCATGATGCATTGTATACACTGAGATAATCCCTTAGAGATCTTTTCTTGATTAGGTTTAATTTTGGTGAATGGCTTCTTACACGGCCACCTCAACAACTGCACCCAAGATATCCCATAATACATTGTAGCATCATATACAGTGAAGTCATCTCTTGAAAATGTTTTCTTTGTCGAGTTTATTGTCACCAGCAATTGCTGGATGGCTTCTTGCATTGCCACCTTAACAACACTGTACCTCAAGAACCCATCCAATGATGCATATGTCTATACGAAATCTCTCGGACTTTTTTTATTCGTACAAGTCAGTAAACATTGAGCTAAGACGGAATTACCCGTTCAATTGAAAGACGCTCAAAATCCCTGGCTATTTCCCCACGGCAAGTGAACTGTGGTATAGCAATGTCATTTACTTTCTGTCTTTGTTTTTAGTTGATGAGTGCGCATAAAACTGGAGCCTTAGCCAACAACCGTTTTGCCGCCATCATACACCGTCATTATGGACATCTGAATCAAAATATTCCCGTGGAACGTAGCGGGGGTGGTGTCTAGTCACGTGGTACAAGCCAGTTCGACTCCTTATAATAAAAATATGCCTTCGCTTTAAAGATTTCGTTCTTCAACACTTCTCCATATAACTAAGATACTTCTAATAACCGTTTTACAAGATCCACACATCTTTTTCTTCGCATTTCTCAGACGGTTCCCCAAGGCTGTGAATATTTGTTCCATGAATGGAAACGAGTGCTTGGTTCAAGCAAATCCAAACCTTGCGTTCGTAGTTTTATCTCAGGTCAGGTCGACCAAGAGAAGAGGCAGTATACATAAAGCCGTGAGAAGACCTTGGTCGTAGGAAAAAGTCTTCCTTTCCCAGGGAACGCCAGAAACAAGAGATCTGCACCAGCAATAGGGTCACACACCTTCATGTAAATGGGGCCAAACACAGGCATCGTGGTTCTTGTTCTTGTTTCACTTGCAAATGTAAAGTGATTTCAGCGTGAAACAAAAATTATTTGCCTAAGGTGTTTAATCTGGTAGTCAAATAGTAACAAAAGCAAACAATGAAAATAAGATCTATAAGTCGACTTACCATGGGTTATGTAAATCCACTCTATTGGACCCGCAACTCTTATGTTGTCCATATGAAATGGGTGCACATGTATTAATAGTATTGCAATTTTCCCAATTTAGCGATGCATACTTGCACGCTGTTAACTACTTATGAGGTACATAACAATTGAAGTGCAAATGGACTACCTAGGTTTTACTAAAATTATTAGTACTTATACCTAGGTTTTACTAAAATTATTAGTACTTATACTGAACACTTATGTTAATTTGTATCTGATGTGTGGTAACAATGCTTATACACCAAAATGAAAAAGGTTTAAATAAATGAGAAACGTAACTGGGGGTGAAGTCCGTCCAACCAGGGTTAGAGTCGGGCCGCAAGCAGGCAAGAACTGCGTGGATGTATGTGAACATAAATGATGTGAATCTGGCTGTCGTATCACAGCGTGGGACAACCACGACAGAGCTATGCTCCAACTAGATGAAAGATCAAATTGAAATTGCGAAGTTGATTTTTGCGGAGGTAGGAAAACCGGAAAAACCCGAAGAAAACCCCTCGAAGCACAGGAGAGAACCAACAAACAACTCTACTCACATACAACACCGAGACCTGGATTCGAACACGGGTCGTGTTGGTGAGAAGCACAGGAGAGAACCAACTAACGCCCTACTCACGTATGACACCGAGACCTGGATTCGAACACGGGTCGTGTTGGTGAGAAGCGGCGCATAAGTTTCATGTACTCTTACCGAACCATAAACAATCATTTTATAAATGTGAAGGTACTACTTTTTAGGTACAAAGTTTTAAACTTCGCATTTTTTGACCAAATATGGCGAACAAGTTCATTTGAAGAGTCTACTTTTGTGTGGGATTTTTACTTTTCGCTTCATTAAAAAAGGACCATACTTCCAGACATCGAGTGCTGAACCGTCGTAAGGCAGCGCGAAGCACTTACGGCTACGCCGGAGATTTCGACCCCGACACCGCTATCTGGAGATTTACAGACTGATCAGGAAGCTCGGCCGAAGCCTAAAGGAGAGGTTAGTCGGACCCTAGACAGTAGATGATTAACCCCTTGCTATGAACAGCAAACTCGAACTCTTAATTGTGAGGCTGATGGCTTTGAACGAATACTCACTCTTTTCCATGTGGGATGCGTTTAGTAAAACTAAACGGAACATAGGAAATTAGACCAATTTCAAAGATCGATTATCTGCTATACACAGTAATGTCTATTGATTATCTAGTGTCTACTAAAAAAAAGGTAAAGGTAATATATTTTACTTCAATAACGCGGGGAGTGGTTGCCCAATTGACCTAATTCACTATGACGTCACTGCTTGTTTATGTCGGGGATAGAATCGCCAAATCCATGATATAAAATTCAACAAAATTTGTTCCTAGCGAAACAATTTAATCTAAAATGGCCTGGTTTTCAGATATGATATGTGTTAATATGTACTTGCTAGCCATGCGTTTGCTGGCTATTCTACTTCTCTTCGTGGAATGATACGGGATTTAGAACAATTTTCGGTTAGTTTGCGTTGATTTGACCCCCTCCGACGACCATGATCCTTTGCATTTAAACAATAGATTGTTGAAGATTGTTTTGATGTGACGTCATAGTGAAATAGGGCAATTCTCCCGAGCAAAGGGTTCATGATTAATGCGTTCGAAGGTGCGCCCTCTACCAGTGTCTATTATGTCTATAAATACACAATAGATGTGTATATTCTGCAAATCGCACTTCACTAGTAGCATACACACAGTCTACTCTACTGAATGACTTTAAAACGTGATGAAACGTGGAACGATAAGGAAGTTTTGTCAAGTAATATGAGAACGAAGAAGAGTTGAACTAGTAAAACTAAATCCACAAACTCAATYAAACCTTTAAATGCAGTCCCTACTAATTTCCAAGCCCTTAGATATTTTGGCACCCGGGTTTTGGTTGGACTACCTGTGTTTTTTGTACGTTCATGGTCGTTTATAGTGTGAACGTGAACGCTCTTGAAAACTGAGGTCGGATCGGTCTCGGATCTATCCAAACTAGATCGATCTAAAATGGACCTAGTGTGAACGAGCCCTTATTCTCGAGAGAATAAAACGTGATCTTAAATGAGAAAAAAAAAAAAAAAAAAAAAAAAA